GAATTTTCATAGATTTCGATTTATTTTCATTTTTATTTAATTATTTCGTGTGACATTGCGTTGGAATTGAGCTGTGTTGTTTACCATAGCATTTATTTAGTGAATATAGTATATTCGGAACAGTTCGGCCTCTCTCCAGCTTCGTCCTGACGGTCCCTTTATATATGTGGCTGGGCTGTGGCTGCACCCTTTCCCCTTTCCACCCCTCCTCTGACGAGCTTCGGCCATTTCCGCCAAGGGGAGCCGAAGCCCTTCGTCCTCCCCCTCCCCTCCCGCCGGGCCTTTGCTGTCTGCAGCGGGGTGCCACCTGTGCCATCCCTTAGCCGCCTCCCCCCGCCCTTAAGCCAGCCTAGCCCCGGCCAGCCCAGCGGAGCTCCAAAGGAGGCGGAGCATCTCCTCAGCCCAACCGGCTGCGCACGCTCTCCACCTCCCCTCACAGCGAGCCAGCTATGGCCTTGCCAAGGTGGCACCGACGGGGCGGCAGTGGTGGTGTCAGCCTGAGGTGCAGCGGGGCTGGGGCGGCCCCTGGGTGCCCCGTGAGGCAGCACACCAAGGACTTCTCCTTTTCCGAGATCCTGGACGTCTCACTCTCCTGGGCCACCGACTTGGGGGAGCCTGAGCACAGCTCCTCCGAGGAGATGCTCAACAATTTCCACAAGGCCAACAGCCCCGGCGCCCTCTCCCCCAGCCAGCCTCGCCCGGCCCAGCAGCACCGAGTCCTAACCAATGGCAGCACCCATCTGCCGCCCCACTACTCCCAGACTGGGCCACAGCAATGCGTGGCCGGGTACAGCTAGTAGTTAATAACTTAAAATTATTTGTTTTGTTTGATCATGCTAATTTCTTTTAAGCCTCAGATATCCCCTTAGCAACCTATGATCAGCCAAGCTTATTTTGACCAAGATATAAATATTTAATATGATGCTTCATACTTATGTAGAAATAAAATTCAATAATTAAATATGCTTCTTGTTAAACAATAGATATGTCAAGAGCAAAATGCAGATAGCAAAAACACTCTGTGGGGTTTCAGAAATGTTTGTTTGTAGATGCTAATGAAAAACAGAAGATATTTATAGAAACTTAGTATTCTTTTCAAATTGATGGTACACATCACTCCATTTGCAGATTTGATTTTTACATATGGGCACACACACATTACAGAAATTTATTGTCTCCTTGTGGATTAGTGGCTTACCCCTGGCATATATTCCATGAATATAGAAAGTGTTCCTTCTGGATGGTCCCTTAAGCAGCCATAATACTGAACAATTCTTTCGTGTAGCAGATTTTTCAGAAGCTGAATCTCACATTCAAGGGCATTTACTTCCTAAAAGTAACATAATAGAATAAGAGCACATTTCTAGCACTAAATCTCACCAAAAATACTTGATTCAAGTATTTTTTTTTAATTTAAACTGAATAATTTAAAAATCATTATTGCTAGCTCATTAATATTAATCACTACAAACCATTTTAGCTGCTTTACTATTTTTATAATTAAATGAACACTTCAGTTTTGAAAAAGATATAAAAGCATTTATTCTCACCCTTAATTGAACTATGACCTAGAGAAACAGCTTCCACAAGTCACTTTAAACAATATCAAAGAATCTACAATGCTCCCATAAATTGTAATAAGAATTGCAAAGCAATGGTTCTCAGAGGACTCTATTTGAATTATCTGTTCTCATTTAAAACAATGATCAAATTAGTGAATAAAATATGAATTGTATATAATTCTTAAATGTTATTGGCAATACTGTGGATTTCAATAAGTCCTCTCTAGTTTATACTCTTAGTATTGAATCCAAAATTACATGTTTGAATATCACAAAGTAATAAAAATGCACTTTACAATTGTCATTCATTTAATTTTCTAGTTCATTTTTTCTTTCAGCACAATGTGTACATATCAAAAAGCTGAGAGGGGGCACTTCCTTCCCAAATTCTTACCTTACTCGTCTCTGGGCTGTCAGGATCAAACTCAACTTGTTTAACAGCTAGTTCTCGTCCTGTGTCTGCATCATAGCATAGATAAACTCTACCAAATGCACCTTGGCCAAGCGGTTTACCAAGTACCCAATTAGTTGGAGCACGTGGGGCTGCAACAAAATGTGAGAAGTCTGATATATCCAACTATACAAGGGAAAAGCAGACCAACACTTTTCTGACACTGTACAAAAAAGCTCCCAAGTCAGCATATTTTATTCTATTTTAAAACATTTACCCTTTGAATACTTACAATTCCTGTTTTTGATAAGTTTGCAGTGTTATTAGTTTTCTCCAAAATTTACTCACAAGCACACTAAATACAAGCACACATGAATAGATTTCAAATTATTTTCTGCCCTTTCACTGTTACTATCTTCAAGATAGAATTATTCTTAGTAGAAGGAAAATGTACAGTAGGTTGCCATAGGAATTTCCTGATACAGCTTACTGGAGCCTACACCCTTCTTCTGTATGTTAGATTTTCTGTTTTTAGTCTATTCTTCTGACATGTTCCCATTCCTCTGATCATTTATTTTCCTCACATTGTATATTAAACCAGGCTATTTCAACAACTGAATTATAGTTTAGATGAGGGATTACAAATCAATATATTGTTTCTCCTTACAGCGGCTGGGAGGACTGATGTCCATTACGGTCAAGGTAGGATTTTCTATATCACTTCCTCTTCTCCGCATTCGTCCATCTTCATATTCTGGAGTGAAAATGCTGCTCCCACTGCTTGTGCTCAATGAATAATCAGTTGGGCTGAAACTTACTGGAGTGCGTAAGCAGTTTCCTTGAGTCCTTCTAACTCTTGGAAAAGTTTTACGACCTGCAGAAATTATAAGTAAATCCAACACCATAGTATTATGAACCATACTGTTTATCAGTACATGGTTCTCGACGGAACTGACAGTAAAGATCATTAGACAGAACTGGAGATATGTTACAAACCTGATAAGCAATCATAAACATTACTCTCAGGTCCTTTGATAATAAGAAATGCATATGATAACCAAAGTAGTTACCTTTGTAATGGACCAGAGAAAGCAGCTTTTCTTGGAAAATAGATTTTAATTTTCTAAACATGGAAGGTTTAAAATATAATACTGTAATATTTTTTACTGATGGTGAGAAAATAATAGGTTCAGCTCTATAAAAGTAAATAGCCTTGCTGATCTTTTAAATACCATACTTGATGAAACTCTAGGAGTTCATTACAAATAGTCAATTTAAGAAAAAACATCGTTCACACAGAACTGAAATTAGTTGCCATGAATCGAACTCGACTATGAAATGCTCTAGAAGGAAGCAAAGAAGGTACTCTAGTCTAGTAAATTGTTCCTTCTCACTGTCATCTCCTGAAAAGCTGTTCTAACAATACGGAAAACCTTCCAGAACAACATAAGCCTTGCCACTAGAAGTTGCAAAAAAAAAAAAAAAAAAAGCACTGAAAATATGTTGATATTCTTTTATTGTGGACCATGTTAGACCTGCATCTTTTCCATTCTCTTCCATGAATGGAAGGGCCCATTTAGGTAAAGAAAGAAATNGCCGTGCGTCCCTCTTCAGACGTCTGGGATCAGGGCTAAGCCTCTGCTTTGCCAAGGAGATCGCACTTACCCCCGCCTGCAGAGAAGCACCTCTGTTCTTCGCTGAGTCCCTCCGAGACCAGCAAATGGCTGCTCTTTATGCCGCCAGACCCCTGGTTTGTCAGCTAGGTTTCAGAGCTATCTCCAAGCCTGCCGCCATAGCCAATGACGTCACCAGAAATCCCCCCCAAGTGTCTGAATTTTGATCGCATTACTATGGAGATGCTGTAGTAGTCATAAGTGTAAAAAATGGTCATAAGTCACTGTTTTCAGTGCCATTGCAACTGCGAATGGTTATTAAATGAACTGTTGTAAGTCGAGGACTACCTGTATTCCCATAATCAAAGATTTTGTGTTGTACTTTGTTCTTGTTACAATTCTAGTATTACATGAATTTAGTTTTGACTTGTTTAATGTTCCTATGACTTTCCAATTATTCAAGATTCATACTGCACATTAATCATGGGTATTTGTGTGCGGCAATATCTGTATTGCTTGCCTTTTGCAAATAACTGTAGCAGCACCAAAAGAAGTATAAATGTTTCATAAATAAATAAATAAACCACCAGTTTCAAATAAAAAATATGAAGGGTTGTTACCTATTACAGAATTCCTGTTTTTCTTTTCTGTTACTCTGAAAACTGTATTATCCAAATCTTCTAATGATGACAAGGGATCCATGTTATTCTACAAGGAAAAGTATGTTTATTTATGCTTTTAAAATAATCTACCCTTATAAAAAAGGAAGCAACATTTTGTCATAAATATAGAGGACATCCAATGTTTCATTTCTACTTCCACAGACGATGGGTAGAGCAAATTATTCTCCCTACTCAAATTTGGCTAGGAAGGATTGAGAACTTTTGGTACAAATTTTATGAAGATGGAATTGCAGATGACAGAGCTATTTAAAACCCCATGGCACAAAATTCCAGTTTGATGACACTGGACTTTTCCCCAAATTTCTGCACGTTTCAAGTAAAATATTAATATGCTATTATTTCCCAAGTGCACACATTCTAAATGTTAAGATTATAATGATAGCAAGAATGAAAGGTTAAATACATTGAGTGAGATTATTTAAAAACAGGAAAATAAAGTTGCTGGCACACCCAGAAATATTTCTGCACACATCTCACTAAGGATGGAAATAGACAATCAAAATATAGTTGATTTATAATTTTTTCATCTTTTAAATTGTTTTGGCCTTTGACTATAATCTCTCTCCTACTGTTCTAATGACACAACTATTAAAAATATAACATTTGTAACCTTTAAAGTAAAAACATGATATTATATAATGAGATTTGTGATTGCAATTTATATTTCATGAATACACTGTGAACATACAGAACATGGTTTATTACATGCAATATATACTGTATCATTATTATTTTTGCTATACTACATATATCCACACAAACACTTGCATTTTATAAGTGTTACAAATATAGATAATGTGCACATGATAATAACCAAACTTAATGGGTTACAAGACAAAGAATAAGAATTCATGCAGACATTATCCAAATAATGATTTTGACTCAAATCTTTTTTATAGATTTGATCAAAAATCACTTGTTAATGAAAACAAGTGCTCTGTTGCTTTCTGGAACAAGACCCCCCCCCCAAAAAAAATGCTCCTCCATAAAGAAAGGGGATGGCAATTTTCAACGGGATTAGGTTGTTAGGGGTCACAACAAACAACAGAGAAAAAGTGTTATAGCAACATACAAATTTACACAAAGCCTTAACACACCTGTGTGTTTCCATGAGCAACAAGCAGTATCTTGAGGCTCTTCAGGTGAACACTGCGATCAAGGAGCTCCACAGCTTTGTCCAGATCATCCTGGATAGCTAATGGAATTACCAGCTATACATAGGAAAAATTCACAAGATTATAGTGCAAGTTAAATACAAATAATGCATGTACACATTAAGTTTGTGGCCTGAAAATGAACTGTAGCAACACCAACTGTCTTCAATAATTAATATTTAGCAGAACCAAGGGATAGCATGCTAGAAAAAGGGTAAAAATGAGCCATAAAAAGGAAATTTAATTATGACTATTTGGCTAAGCAGGATATGTAATCAGTAGAAAGATGTAACCATAGTAAAAATTAACCAGGTTTTCCCATATCCCAAATGCTACGTGTTAAAGATGCCTATGTTCTTTATGGCTATAGTTTTTGAAATTTGGTGAAGCATAATAAATTAAGGCTTCTTAATACATGGAAGGAAGTAGCTAAAAGAAAAATAAATCCACATCTGATTTGAAGCATTGCACTGATAAAATGTGCTATTTTTGTCATGACAACTATTATTTTCTCCATAAAGGAGGAAGAAAAAGGACTTCGAATAATCTGATAAAATATTCTAAGTTTTTACAACTGCAATGCAAATGCCTAGGTGTTTTTTTTCCTTTTTAACAATACTAAAATAAAATGCTAACATAAAATTTAAAAATACCAAAACAATACTAAAATACTAAATATTAAGAGAACAGTTTGTCTCATTGTTAAGGCACCAGGCTACAAACCATGAATTCAAGTCCTGCCTTGGCCATGAAAGTCAGCTGGGTGACTTTGAGCTGTAACTTTCTCAGCCCAATGATTGTTGTGGTGGGGAAAGCAGGCAAAGGAAGCTATGTTGGATATGTTCACCTCGAATTATTTTTAAAAATAGTAAATGCAGGATAAAAAACAAACAAATAAATAATGGTTTCTTAATATTTAACTATTAAACATTATTTAATAAATATTTTTATCATCTATTTTTTCAATTCTACAAAGAACTTTTTTTTGCTTTACCTGATTGAGTTCCTGAAAAATAACATAACTTCAGCATAAGCATATATGTTAACATTTTATAGTTTGAAATTTAGTTTTAATTTTTATTTAACAAATTTTATTTATTTATTTATATCCTGCCTTTATCATTTTTATAAATAACTCAAGGTGGCAAACCTATCATATTTAGAAAAAAATCTGTTTGTGCCTTAAGCTCAGTGCTGATTCCTGGCAACTATTTGGACTAGTTGCAGTTTTCTTGACAAGGTTTTTTGGAAGTGGTTTGCCACTGTCTCCTTCCTACGGCTAAGAAGAAATAACTGCCCCAGGGTCATTCAGCTGGTTTTGTGCCAAAGGTGGGACTAGGGCTCCTGATTTCTAGCCTGATGCCTTAACTATAGTACTTTGCCAAACTTGAATTAGTGAAAAATGCAGATTTAGAGAAGGGTAAGGCATCATCAAGTAGCTAAAGTGGCAAATAGTATAAAGAAGAGAAAAATCTGTAATTATGAATAGTTTCTGCCAACCCTTATAAAAATCATTTCAAAAGGTATGGCATTACTAGTATTCTGCCTAGATAACAGTCAGAAAGGTAAGATGAACTGCTTGTTATTGTTGCTCAATCTTCCTCTTAATTGTTTATTTAGTAATGATATACTGTTACTGAAAGAGATCTCAATTTTTAATGTCTTATTGTAGACAAGGCTGTTGCTTCTCGGTTACACAGTGATGATATTCTGCAAACTCTAACCAATTCACAGATTTTATATTTAATAAGATACATTTTATTTCCTAATCATATCTTCCAAAGGAGTTGTATTACATTTCCTTAAAAATAAAGATATAATATTACTACATCTTACTACATTAATACATGATTTGATGAGAAAAAATATTTTTATGAAAGGAAAAAGCCACAGTATAAATGGCACAAGTGGAATGTAACTTACTGCAAACCTTAAATATGTCCCAGAGCTTCAAGTAGTCCTGTCACCAGGTTTTCACTATATCAACAAAGAACAGTCTAAAAACCATTATTTTACCTCATTATTGCTGTAATACAAATTCATGGACTGTCCAAAGGCAACTTTAGCTTTTGATGCAAGATCTTCGAGCTTGATAGGTCTAGAAAACTGTAGGATTCTATAAAGTAGGATACAACTTTATTAGAAATAATCTACAGAATTGAAAAAAATTGCAAATTATAATTATGAAAGTCCAACTTATTTTCAGTGCTATCTTGAAAAAAAAAGGAAAACCACTTTTCCCAACAATTAAATTACAGGAGCTGAATTCAATTGCAATGGAGAACCAAGCTCTTGTTCCTTTCTTTGCCTCTACAAAGTACTAAATAAAGGCTTGCCCCTTTCCTTTCCTTCCAAAGGGAGAAACTTCAACTTCAATTATCCCAAGTCAATGACTTCTGGTGGATAAAACAGTATCACAAAATATTGCTCAGTGCAATAACCAAATTATGCCTTATTTCTTTACACTATAGGAGGAGACTAAAGAGCTAATTGACAGTAAAAAGATTATTTTGCTAGGCTTATACAGATTTCCTAGTATTAGAAAGCCATCCTAGGAAGTGATCTACTTAAGAATTACAATAAGTATAATAGGATAAACCAAGTTAAACTAAACTTTAATTTGCAACATTTTAACTCAGTCAAGCATTCTAGGAATTAATTTCTATATTAAAAATAATTTGTACTATGTGATTTGCAATTTCCTATGGAATATAATATACCTGTATTTTAAAATTTGTCAGAATAACCTGAATCTTAACACATAGTTATATTTGTATTTTGAGGTATTAAGCCAATTAACATCTTATGTAACCTTCTAGAAAACACTATCTGTCTGTCTAGCTATCTAACTATTTAACTATTTTGGACTGAAATAAAAACTGAAAGATTGCAATATGGTATATTATTTCATCTATTTTTAAGCAGAAATTGAAAATAAAACAAAAATCCTCATACATTTATAGGTAGTCGTTGGGTTATGACACTTGCTCAGTGACTGTTCAAAATTACAAAAATGCTGAACAAGGGGACTTAATGACAGGTCTTCAGAATTTCAAATATCACAGCATCCCCACGATCACATGATTATGATTTACAACACTCCCTGCCAGCTTCCCTAAAACAAATCTAATGGGGAGCCTGAATAGAAGTCAAAAGTCACTCTTGCCGTTTTTTCATCTACCTGAATTCTGTAGTGCCTGCCTCCAGCACATCCCTACCACCCACTGACACTCACCCACATTCTATATGGCCTGCCCAGAACACCCTTCCCCATCATTTTCCTGTGCTCCACAGCATCTATTTGCAACGTTAATCTATACTTTAGAGTACCTGCCTATGGCATTTCCCTGTCCTCCACCGCATCTGCCCACCTGCCTGCACTATAAAGCCTCTGCCCATGGAATCCCCCATTTTGCCTCCTAGCCTGCTTGCCTAGGACTCCCAACTTTTCCCACTTAATGACCCACACAGTCCTGGGATTACTACGGTTACTGGGGCTGCTGGAACTGCCATTGCTAAACAGTGTAGATATGTAACATTAAATCTATGACTTGATTGTTTAAGTGATGGAAGTTCCTGAACCAACTACAACCATAACCTTTGCAGGACTTTTTAAAAAATGGTTAATGGTTATGGTTTTCAAACATTGATTGGGTAGTTTTAAATTAAATCAAGATTCTATAAAGGTATGGAAACAGTGAAAAATTTTAAAAAGTTGTCATATTCAGAAAATAGAAATTTGCTAAAATGAACTATTATTTACCTTTTTTCTCCTCGATGTTCAAATTTGACTCGTACATCATTCTGTGAGAGAATTATATAAACTTGCTTATAGTGCTCAGTGACATTGATAATGAGATCTTTTCCACAATCTTATAAAAATATGTATCTGGAGGTAAGGATTGTATATAAATTTTTTCCAGTCTTTTGAAGCATTAGAAAGAAACACACAGAAAATAAACTAGCATATATAGCACGTATGTTTAAAATCTGTTATGTAATTTTAAAACGATTGCATTTCAATTTCTAAAACATACATATTACAAATCAATGTAAAGATTATAGGCAAAAATTCTTCACTGTGCTGGGCAAACACATTAGATGATTACCTGTTTTTTGGGTGAAATTAACTTTCCCTTTCCCATTTCTTGAAGCGGCAAAGCAGGACGACTTGCCTTATGAAGAACTGCCAAATCCTGCATGATTGAATTCAAAGCTTGCTGTTCATCTATTTAAACAGTAATGAAACAAGGAAATGTACTAGTCAAACTAAGTTTTTAAAAATCATAAAAAACAAATCAATTAAGAAGCATAAGTAGAATCTAAGGATAGTTTGCATTGTAACTTTAAGAGCATTCATAATATGGATCTCAACAGCTTGATGTTAGATAGTAATTCTGGTAGTGTTCCTTCCTTCATTTATATTTTCTTTTAGCAACAATTGCATTTTATTATATTCATATGGTTATGTGATTAAAAAAAAGTCACATAGAATTTCAATATTACTCATCATTTTCTGTTTAAATTCAGTATTGGATTATTACATTCTCAGGCATATGTTTGAAACTCACCCATAATGGCACCCAGCAAAACCGAACTTCAGAACAGTGCTCCCATTAGAATTCTTTTATTGCCTAAACAAATAAGAAGAAAGATAAATGAAAATGAAATGAGACAGGTATGATAAAAGTGTCTAGTTTCTATAAACTTTTGTTAAACCAACTTTTTCCCTCAAGACTTAGCATCATTAATTTTTCAGGACAACTTTCAATGTACATGGATCAAGACTGTTAAATTCAACCTTTTCAACTAAGGATATCCTCCCTCCATAGTCCTTAAGACAGAATAAAACAGGCAAAACAAACCCTGAAGCAAAGGATCCATTGAACCCTGATGGGCAAACATCCTGTAGGGCAGCAGTGTCCAACATTTTTGGCACTAGGGATCGGGGATGGGTTGGAGCACAACCTAGATCCCACGGATGCACAGTTTTGCTCACCCTAACCCTAACCAGTCCCTAGCCCTGGGGTTAGGGACCCCTGCTATAGTACATGCCCTGTAACTATAATTTGTCTAAATTTTATATATTATTACTTTATTGTTACTTAATAGTTTTTGATACTTTGCTATAAATTTTAGATGCTTTAAACGTATTTAATGTAATTATAGTGTTTAGAGAGGTCTGCAAAAAAAAATTTTCCAGAGCTGTTTTGGTTATTCCATGTAATCTTTATGTTTTTTGGTGCGCTGAATCCGAAAATGACCTCCATTTTG